GATTATAAAAAATCAATTTTATATTTAAAAATTGTAATATTATTAAATTTAATATTTGATAGTATAAACTTAATGTAATATATTTATTTTCATAAAAATTAAAATTAAAAAAATATGTGTTTAGAATTTTGATAAGTATAATTTTTTTTATTAGGTATTTTGATGTATCACTGATAAAGAGTATGTTGCTAAAAATGTAGTTGATACCATTTAGAATAAACATTAACAACAATGGTAGGTTGGTGAAAATGTGGGTGGAAGTATACAAATAAATATCAACAACGTAGTTCTTCTTTGTAAAAGTTGAAAATCAATAACAAGGCATACGTTGCTAAAAACTAGGGGATGTATTATTTTTGAACTTTCAACAACGTAGCTTTCAACAACGTAGCTTTTGTTGTTGAAAATGGACAATCAGCAACAAGGCATACGTTGCTGAAAAGTGAAAAACTGCCATTTCCCTTAAACATTTAGTAACATGAGCCATGTTGCTGAAAATATAGTTTCAGAAACGTGGCTCTTGCTACTAAAAATAGAGTCAAATTCCGGTGCCAGAATCTGATAAATTTTTTTACCAACTCGAACTATGTTGCTGAAGCTGTGTAATCAGCAACAAAGCATACATTGTTGAAAAGTAAAAAACCACTATACACTTAAACTTTTAACAACAAAAGCCATGTTACTGAAACCATATTTTCAATAACGTGGCTTTTGTTGCTAAAAATGGTAGAATAAACTCCAGCACAAGTTACCAGAATCGAATATTACCAACATAAATTACGTTGTTGAAAGTATATTTTCAACAACAAAATGGTTGTTGTCAATGTATCAACAACAAAATGGTTGTTGCCAATGTATCAGCCACCAAAGCTTTCAGAAACAAAAGCTACATTGTTAAAAGGCTTTTACCAACATGACAAGCACTTTTAGCAACAAGGCATATGTTGCTGAAAAGTAAAAAACCACCCTACCCTTAAACTTTTAACAACAAAAGCCACGTTACTGAAACCATATTTTCAATAACGTGGCTTTTGTTGCTGAAAATGGTAGAATAAACTCCAATACTGGTTACCAGAATCGAATATTACCAACATAAATCATGTTGCTGAAAGTGTATTTTCAACAACAAAATGGTTGTTGTCAATGTATCAGTAAC